TAGTTTGTAGCTAGTAAGATACTAGTTACAGCCAAATAGATACATCAAACTAATAAAGACTTATAAAAAGTTTCTATATCATTACACAAAAATCAAATAATTTAACTAATATTACTAGATAGTCTAAAGAAATTAACAAGACTAATAGCAAAAAGTCGACTTCCCACCTCTTCTCTTTCACTATAAATAAATAGTTTATTTTTTGCTTGTTCTTTTGCATAATTCATGGTTTTAGCTCATGTTAGTAAAGATTATTGTACAGTTTAGACTTGTGCAATCAGAAGTGAAAATATCATGCAATTAGGCTCGTGCTAAAGGAGCAAGAGTATCATGTGGGATACTCTTGTATCACAAGAAGTATAGTTTTTGTCTTGTTGCTCATTAGCTATATGTATAGATTAGAGCATCTACATACTTTACACTTTTTATATAAAAAAAATGCATAGGTCAGAGTATCGTGCAGCTTATGTATGTGCAATAAGGAACTTGAGATATAATGCAATTTAGGGTCCTGCGACGATAAGCAAGAATACTATATAGTTTGGGCTCATATAATGAGGAGCATGAATTTTCTTTTGTTGCCATTCACATTTTAACTCGTGTGGGCAAGGACTAATGAGGAATACTCGTGATCTTATTTGTACTTGTGCTTTGGGCATTGTGAATGATGGGGCAAATTCTTATATCTTTGACATCAACAATCTTGTATGCAATGTTTGGGTTGATTTCTTAAATTCCATAAGGGTGTGATGTGGATAAGACCTTGAAATAGCAATTCTCTTTTCTTCTTTATTCAAATTTTAGCATCAAAATCATTTGTAGTTATTGCAATAATCTACAAAAAATATGAACGGTCATATGTTAATGATGACAATTTAAGAGATTTTGAGCAGGATAAATTGCCTATCTTCCATGGAAGAGAATTTTCATTATATATACAAATATACAAGTTAATTTTTAATATCTAAATTAGCTAAACAAAACTGTCCTAATTAAAGTTATTAAAGATATACAAGTCATAAAATTATATATATAATTTGCTGGCTAATTAATTAGATAATTTGCTATCATAATTGTGTAAAATCTGTAGATTAATTGCATAGAATCTGTTGCTATATATGCTGATTAATTGTATATAACCTGCTGCCATAATTGTTACAAATCTGTTGATTAAGTACATAATATTTGTTGATTAATTGCATAAAATTTGCTGGCTAATTAATTGTTAGTTAATTTCTTTGACATCCCCCATCAAATTAATGCTGTTAAATTTATAAGTATCAATTTGTTAACAAGAAAGTTATGGCGTTAATGTGTCATAGATTTAGTGAAGAGATCTGCAATATTTAGAGTGGTGTGATATGTGGCAGGGTAATAACTTGATGATCATATGCCTCCCGAATGGAATGACGATCAACTTTTTATGTGTTTTTCCTTTCGTGGTAGACAGGGTTGATGATAATTTGAATTGCACTAGTACTGTTAGTGTGTAGTGGAGTAAGTTGAATTTATGATAAACGAACCTCTGTAAAGAGACCACACAATCAAATGATTTCGAACATGTAGCAGACATGGCTTAGTATTCTGTCTCAGTGGAAACTTGAATACAGAGTCTTGTTTTTTACATTTCCAGAGATAAGGCATCACCAGAAACGTACACTATCCAGCTAGTAGATTTCCTAGTGTCTGGACACCCTGCCTATCAGCATC